ATTACGTAATATTCTTCATCCTTGACTGAATTATTTTTTTATTGCATAAAAAATCTTCTTCACATTTCGTGAATTTACATTTTCATTACGTTCAGGGAATAATTGCAATGAAAAATTGGATAGTTCATTGATTTTCGGATCATACGAGAGAAACAATGAATTATTTGGATTTTTTAATGATGAAATCTCTGGAAATTTCAGTGAAAGTTGGACACGATGCAGAAATTAACGGGTTAACAATTACGAAGAAAGAAAATTTTTAACAGTTATGTAATTGCCAGGGTACATAGGATCAATTATTTATTACCGTAGTTGTTGTTCCGATGTTTCTCATGCTGCTCGTGAGGGGAATAATCATCAACAATTTATTCCAATGGGTTTTTCTTTTTCCGTCGTTAACATTCATCCAGTGTGTGGAATTACGATGCGTCATTGAAATTGAGAAAATTTTTTCATCATTACGTTCATTTTTTAAGAGTGAAGATGCGATTCAAGGACTCAATGATATATTTTTCTGTATTGCAAAACAATTTGTTTGAACGCGGAGATAAAGAGAATTATTTGGTTCAAGGGCAATTGCTTTAAGACGAAGAATGTTTCTTTATTCGTTTGGAGTAAAAAATACTTGAAATTCCGTGGGTCATTACAATGCCATTCCACCGATCAATTACTTCAAATACTGATTATTAAATCCAAAAATTTCGTGACTAGAAATAATTGAAATAATTTTAATAACATTATCCTGGAAATTTTATGTATTGCCGATGATTCCTATTCGTTTTAGTGAAGAAAAAAAATGATTTACCGCGTAATTGAAAATATTTTATAAGATTAATGAAAAGTTTCAATTATTTTCTTTTCATGGTATGAATTAATGGTTTTCCCTTGAAGGGAATTGAATGTCACGTGATGTATTGAATAATCAAGATTTTATTAGAAATTAATGATTATATCGAATTTCGTCGAGAATGAACTGGAGGTGAATTAGAATATGTTCTACAGGTCGATGTCTATATCGTG